TACTACTACTAGTGTGTGTGTGTGTGTGTGTGTGTGTGTGTGTGTGTGTGTGTGTGTGTGTGTGTGTGTGTGTGTGTGTGTGTGTGTGTGTGTGTGTGTAAACGATTTATAATTCATGAAATGCAATTTGGTACTTTTGTCGGATTTTATAGATATTTGAATATATTTTTTCAAGCTTCCTCATGAATACGTAACAAAAAAGCTTGTGTTTTATTTTAGAAGCAACATCTTCAACATCTTTTAATAAATTTCAACACAGCTTGTACACATTATTCAAATGCATTTAACGCGGCAAACATTTGTATTTTTATATTAATTTATTTATATAAAAATATATTTGATATCTAATCGAAAAAGGTCTATTATAATATAATGAAATGTTCGAAATCGCAAAATTTATTTGCACAGTCGCGATCGCAAATTGCATCCATGCATTGTGAATCATTGTGCTCTGCGCTTGGTTCGAAACCAAAGGTTGCTTCCTCCACTTCCTCGTCTCTCTATCCGTTCTGCTTTTCTCGCGCTTTTTCTCTCCCTCTCATAGCCGCTTGCTTTCTCTAAGGTGGAATGCCATTGACTCCATGCATATCTGGCAACAAGATTCCTCTCGACTCACCTCATATACCGAGTAGTCCTCGTTTATCCGAAGACCGAAAAAATCTTGAAAAAAATATTGAAAGAAATTGCGATAGATAGTAAGATTCTGAGAAACCTGTGGAGGCTTTAATTTAGATATTAAAAAATCGAAAAATTCTTAAATCGAGTTTACAAAGATCAAAGATTCGGTGAAAATGTGAATAAAGATCGTCAAACAATTGTGTACAAAATTGTGTTTCGTTTTTCATAATCTTGAAATCATAAAATTGCAATATTTCTCTTTTAGCGTAGAGTACTATAATCTTTCATCTAAAAAGTACACCGCCAAGATATTTTTTATAAGATACACAATGATATTTGTGTGTCTTAAATCTTGGAGATAGAAATTTGTGTTATGTAATGCATAAATAACGCATAATCAGTATATTATCGGAGCAACTGTAGATGGACATGATTATTATTTTGTTTACGCCACCCGTTAGATCCGTTAAAAAGAGCCTCTCAGAATAAACGGGACGAGATAAGAGTCAAAGGCTCGTTAGCGGCACGAGGGGAGTCAACACTGTTGCCAGATTGTTATCCCTACCTTCGACAATGCAGTCTCACCACCGCAAGGCGAGTGCAACAAGCCAGCAACCGACACACAACTTGGAAACAATCGAAATATGTTACATGTGTACATTCTTCGATTCTCCTAGTTAGGTAATTGAAATCAAGTAGCGCGTGTGCTAAACATCAATAATATCTTGCACTTCTAGTTTATGATTTTTCCCTTCAATGTAACTTTGTAATTCATTAATCAATTAACAATTTATTTGAATCTGGATTTTTTCTGTTAACAATCACGCACAATTACGCACGAATGTCTAGAAGCAACGTGTTTCACACGAAAATGTCTAATCACAATTATCACAAGAGACATTAACGAAGCCGAGATAAATTGACGTCCTGCGCTAGTTATAAATACATGCAGTAAAGAAAAAGATTACAAGTTGTGATCGTTACTGAAACGGTAGTTTATAATCATACACACATCGCGCCTTAAAAGGAAGGAAAAAGAAAACAAATAACTCACCATGCAATTGCGGCGAATCCGAAATAATAAAGTAGTAGAAAAACGACGGCGCAGTAAGGATTAGCTAAACCATCCTGCGTGAGGTACTGTTGCTGTTGTTCTTGTTGTTGTTGTTGTTGTTGTTGTTGCTGCTGCTGCTGCTGCTGCTGGGCCAAGGCAATCTGATCTTGTGGGTGCAACGGAATTACGGGTGTACAGGCGACGTTCAGCCGGCCAGCGGCCAATCGAATCACATAGCCAATTGCTACTACCGTGTGGCAGATCATCAGGCAGATTATTGCACGCTCTGAAAAGTAAAAATTATCTTTTAGAACGATTTAATTCTTCTTCGACAATTTAAGAATGTTTAGCTCACATACTTCAAAATATTGTCATAAAAATTTCATAATTTTATTATATTTATTCAAAACTCAGATATTCTCTGATCAATTTGAAAGCTATTTAATTTTTACCTTTATATTAATTCCTATAGAAAATTATGTATTGTATCACTTATTCACAAGATTTAAATTTTTTATAAATATTAATAAAACTCTAATATTTACGCCCTAAATTTGCATTTATTTATCAGTTTGAAAGTTATTTAGTTAAAATGGCATTAAAACATAATAATTACTCGAAACAATTTATTTTGACATGTACAATTTTATAATTATTCATTATATTTTTGGGGGGTTTAACTTTATGAAATATTCTCAACCAAAATATTTTTTCTCTTAATCTTTATCATAGAATTGGGAAAAAAATATTAAAATTACAAACATTTTCCCTAACATTAAAATGGTAGTTTCAAATACTGTAATTTTCTCACAAATTTAAATGTTATTTATTTAATGTTTTTTTTTAATAAAATAAGAAAGAAATTATTAACTAATACATTTTGAAGAATTGTTTTCGCTAGTTTTGGAAATTGCGCTAAACAGCATTTGGAAAAACTGAGCAAATAGATCGCTATACAAGGGAAAGTGATTTCACTGAGCGAATGAATGTATGAGAGGAAGAAAGCTCTGGAAAAATCTCAGAATTCAAGGTAAAACAGAAAATAACGTGCTAATTCCTTCGTCCTTTTATGCGGAAATATTTCCATTCGGTAGAGAAATCTGAAACTTTACCTGCAGTGGTGTTCAGTGCAGACCGTTTACATGGTTTTAAAAGCGTCAGAATGGCAATCACGACAGAGATGAGGCACGCCGATGCGAATATGGTCATCCAGGCCTCTGTAAGCTTCTTGTCCTTTTGGGACCACAAAATATCAGCGTCGCAAGCAGCAGCGCATCTTCCCGAACGATTCAAGAAGATGTACAATCCAGACTTGGCATACCAGGAACAGCCCCAGGGTCCGTTGCCGGCACTCATCGTCTGAAAAGGCTAGAAGAAGATAATATATACGTAAAAGCTGCAGTTCGACCTTTGGCTCGTTGATTATTTAATCCTTTATCTATTAAGAAATAAAAATGCATCATTAGCAAAAATAATTTCTATAAAAAACATTCAATTAAAAAATTGTATATTTTTATAGTTTTTGTTTTTGGAATGCTGAATTCTAAAGTCAAAATTTTGGAATTTTAAATCATGAACTTGGTGTAACAATTACAAATTCGAATAATAAATTTTATATGAAACTTTTCGAGGAAACTTTAGCAATCTTTCAATTAAAATATGATTAAGTTTACATAAAGTTGTTCACACATATTGTTGAAGCATGATATGTAGAGTTTTAGAACAATTAATTTTATTTTGTGTTTCGTAAAAATAATGTTGGAAAATAAAATAATTTTTCAAATTTGTATCTGCTGCATTAAATCGGTCATATCAATTTTGAAATATTTTACCAACTGTTCATTCGTTTCGCAATTCTAAGAATTGGTGAATTAACATTTAAAGAGGTAATTAATTAAATTTATCATTAAACACCTGGATTGGATTAGCTGGTCCAGGCTCGCCCGGACCTTCCATGCACATGTGCTGATGATTATTTTCTGGCGGAAACTTGGAGCAGTTCAATGCAGCGGGCCAAGGAAAGCCGAATCCTTGAAGAACCGGAAAGCAACGGGCTCGCACTTGCTCGCACAGACTCCGGCAAGGCCCTATAGGGGCAGGGACTTTTTCCGTGCACATCGGTGCGTAAACCGAGCATAGGAACAGATGTAATTGCGCGCTGCAATCAATTACAAACATTATTTTCTACAAAGATGTAAAGAGAATGGAAAAATCTATAATAAAAATTTAAATAAACATTGCTATAATTATTCAAATTTAATCGAATAATCTGGAAAAAGAACAACAAAAGTAAGTTAAAAAGTAAGGGCACATTTAAGAAATCAAACTCTTTAATACTAGTTACAGAATTAAAATGTAGGTTATTTTCAAGGCTTTTTTTTTAAGTTAAGAAAGCCCATTTTGACTATTCTTCTCAAATTAATAAGTTTGTTACTTAATATAGAAAATATAATGAAAAATAATAATTATAATAATAGAATAAAATAAGTTTAGTGAAATTATTTTAAATAATTATGTTGTATGCGGATAAAATTTGCAACTTTGTAAAGATAAAGATAGTAAAACTTTTAACACAAAATAAATATATATCTTCATATATAAAATTTCAATCTACACTGTGTATAGCTTTACGAAAAATGTAAGCAATGTGATTAACGAACGAAATGTGAAAATAATATAAAAATATTATTCTGTCACATTTTTTCTTGCTAAATAATTTGATGAACAAATTATGAGAAACTGTTCTTTTCTAAATAATAGACTTGTGCAGGATAGTGTATTGCTATTATGAACGACATGTACAATAGTGCATTTACCTGCATCCATATTGAATAAGTGGACTGAATGTTTGTAAAGTAAAATCGGCATCGCCTTGGATCTCGTTACCGACCAGATTCGGCATGACAGTAACGTTGTAGCCAAGGCCGCGACACATTTCGATTCTGATCGGTTCGCAGGCGCCGTGCGCGCACCATATCGCACGCACTAACATCAACAATAAAATCCAACGCATTTTTCGCGCGAAACGTTTCGCACAAATCACGTTATTTCGAATTTTGCGTTATATGTGCCACCCGCCGTCGATCGATTGATGTACTAATACATTGGTCGTACATCATGCGGAAGTTTCAACTTTAAACTCTCTGAAAAGGCAGAGAAAAAGTAACAATGTATGTATGTATGTATGTATGTATGTATGTATGTATGTATGTATGTATGTATGTATGTATGTATGTATGTATGTATGTATGTATGTATGTATGTATGTATGTATGTATGTATGTATGTATGTATGTATGTATGTATGTATGTATGTATGTATGTGTATGTATATATATATATATATGTTTCATGTAAATTTGCTTAATCTGATTTTAATTAAAACTGAACAAAAGAGGATATATATATTAAGGAGATTTTACAAGACGTGCAAAAAAATTTAATACGAAAATTTTCCAAGAAAAAAAGGCTCAAAAATGTTTAAAGTTAAATATACACTCAAAGTTTGATTAAGAGACATGTGAAGACATACCTCATTGAATTAACAAAGATTTGATTCTACCCTTTATCAGAGCCGGAACTTCTCCTTTTTCTTAATTACGGTCCTGTCCCAGCTCTATTTAGAGTCGTCAAATCTGATCTTGAACCTAACCGAATGAGCAATTTAATTAATTTGATCACACAAACTGCACTCGTTACAACTTGAATTTCACTATGAATTTTTTTGAACTTTCTACTAAATAATAATGTTTGTTTTAATCAACCTGATCATATTTTTTCCGGAAAATAAGTAATTTGCAAATCATTTGTACGAATGCACTCACGCACTATATACGCATGCAGAGAGAGGCGCTAATACTGATTGAAACTAATGAAATCAACCGCAATCAGATGTGACACGTGACACGCACGCTGTCGTTTCGAAACAAAGTGCGGGAGGGTAAAACTCTCGTTTAAGCGCAGTTTAACATCTGAATTGATCACAAAAATAACCGTATAATGGATCGAATTTTCACACAGAAACATCGTATGCCATCTTTTCAGTTCAGTGCGTATCGTTAATCGTAACAGGCGATTATTATAGCAATTTATGGGAGAATCATCGCGAAAGTTAAGTCAAATTGAACAAATAACTCTTCCCACCGAAGGACTTCGTACGACTAAACGCTGCCTCACTGTTGCTCTCACCATGGCTCACCATGATCATGCCCTAGCGCCCCTAGCGTTGCTGTTTATCCCCACTTGTGTGCGTTTTTACAGGGCCTTCTGGTTTCCACTCCCCACGAGGATTTCCGTTATGCTCGTATTCACGCGATCCACGCCTATCCATGCATACACGCATGCATGTGTGTATCATGTAGCAATCGAGTTGAGTTGAGATCGATCGATTAAATCAATCGATTATACTCTGCGCTTGACGTCGAATTTCTCTCTAAAAAAAAGTAACAAAAAACTTTAAAGACTAACCTTTTTACTTATTTTATTTACTTTTACGATTTTATTTGAAATATAATAACAAAATATAGAAAATAAATCTATTTTTGTATCAGAGGAGGTTAGGCTCCCTATTTGTTATAAATTTCTATCGTTTCGACTGTGTAAGTGTAATTACCTTCTATAAGATCTATCGACGGGATTCGGAGGAACGAAGGAGCACAGCAATCACGTTCTCATTATCATATCCCGATGTTTAACAGCAGTTAAGACTGCTTTTATGGGCTGTATTTTCTTGATATCATTGAGGACCCTCACAGTTCTTGAATTCCTCTCTTACTCTCTTACTCGTTTCTCATTTCGTTCTTTTATTGGCTCTTCGCGCTTTCTCTTTGGTTGTCTGGTGTGTTTCAATATTTATCGCAGAGTAAATGTCTTTTCTTTTCTTACCCACCTACCTACCTATCTCGAGAGCAGAGCAAGAAATTTATTAGTACAAACCATGCAAACAATTGCATCCGTTATCTTTTCTTGAAGAAAGATCGATACATGCTTGTAAATCTATCAATATAGAATGGAAGTTATACTGCATCGGAATATAACAAGTGACTAGCGGTGGACATTTCGATGCTTTCTATTCCAAATGCCTTTTATTTTTAAGTTGTTTGTACATTATTGTAACAACTTTATCGCAAGCGTAAATATTTTTTCATTGTCTTTGAAACGCGTAGTTTTATTTAAAAAACCAAAAAAAAAAAAATAAAAAATAAATCCACTTATATATACTATTTTGTATTTAAAAGCAATGTGCAAAATTATACATCCGTCATGGCTTTGCAATAGCATTAAAAAAGAAGATCTTCATCCGTGTCATCGAATATATTTGAATGTCGAATCAATTTATGAGATTTGCCGTTACGTCGTTGCATCTTCCACTGTTGTATCTTTTTTAGGCGATAGAATTCCTCTCGCTCGTACTCGTCGAGTTCGGTAACGATATACGCGAGCGTTCTTTCCAACTGGGGTATAATGATATGTCGGAGAGCGTTTACGCGACGACTAGTCGCCTTGATTACCCGGTCGAGAGTTTGAAAATTGTACTGTAACGACGCCAATTCGACGAGTAACTCGATCGCTTTCCCATAATTCTTCTTTAATTTCGTTATCTGCTAACGTATTCAGTAGCGCAATATAATTCATTGTAGTTATAGAAACAAAAGTTGCAATGATAAATTAAAACAATTATTGCATTTTTATTATACAGTATTATTTGCTAGGCACCGTTAATGCTTTACACTTCCAACTTGGGATTTTTTTCTTTGAACTCAGCTGAAAAATTAATCAATCAACTTTTTAATCAATTGACAAGCTATTAGTAGTTAGTTATAAATTTCTTAATTAATAGTTATTATATAGGATATCTAGACACAATATGTTCAACATGTGAAAATGTCTAACTGAAAATAAGTATAAGTATAAATATAAGTCTGTATACGTAATTTTTTAACCAACTAACACACACACAAAGCTATTTGAATAGACTTAGATTTTTACTTAATAATTGTTATGCATGAATGTCCAAACATAATACGTTTAGTCTGAAAATACCTAACCTAACCAGAAGTATAAGGCATTAATGACGCCGTTAACAACATGGTGATCACCTGTTGACCGCCCCTGGCTAGTCCGGCGAGTTCGAAGGGATCTGCGCTGCTACAGAAAGGCTCGTAAATCCACAGTCGAATGCCGCCGATGATCTCTTGTCTGGATCGAATTCTTATTTTGGCTTTATTGACCGTCTGTAGGACCAGTTTGTTTATACCACCTGTCGCATAATTTACCTCGGCCAACGAAAAGACCGCGTTCCTCATCACTTCGCCAAGCTGTAATTTGTTTTCGAGTAGATGCAATAGAATTGTGCGGAATCGGATTAAGAGACCATCGACCCTCTTTTCGAGCAAATCACGACCTCTGCGTGCGCAATTCAAGCGACATTTTACGTTCGTGTATGAACTGAATGTCGGGAAGATTGCCAATCTATCTACGACCTCCATGATTGTCCCGGACCGATTATACCTTTTCATGACAAGAAGCAGCAGCTTCACGATATTGATTGTGAATCATTCCTCGCATTTTTATTTTACCTAACAAGAAAAAAATATGTGTGTATGTCAGTATGTATGTATGTATGAGTGATTTATCACGAAAACACCATCATATCGTAAGCATCGGTGGTTCAGTGGTAGAATGCTCGCCTGCCACGTGGCAGGCGAGCATTCTACCACTGAACCACCGATGCTCATGTTTCGACAATTAAACCTAGAAGAGTCAACACAGCATCAATTAAGAAAAGTTGGCTTTAGTTAACTAATACAATTTCATTAAATAATAAAAATAATTAATATATTTTTGATGGTTACCAAGAAAGTGAAGCGTACAAGAAGAAAGGCGATCACGCTCTCAGAACCATCACATTCATTATGGCGATGTTGAATAAACAGATATGGGAAACATTTTCCGAATCAATAGCAGTTGGTAAATATTATTTTATACTATATTTTTATCATTTATTTATTTTATATTGCTACTTTAGCATTTATTTTATACTGTATACTGTCTCAATACAAAATAAATTGAAAACTGAACTATATGTTTTCTCTTCCTCTCATTGTTAATATTTTATAATAATGCGATATATTGGCACAAATTTGATTGATTATTATCAAAGAAACAACAAAGGAACAACTCGAAAACACGATTGCACGTTCGATATGCACGATAATAATCACCGATAGCAAAGAGAAATAAAAAGTCGTAGTTTATTTTGTACGTTGTCTGTGTCGCGTTTATGCTACGCCTAAACTACTTGAGTACGCTTTCTGTGTTTTATGCATAAAAAAGAAGTGTATTCATTAATATATTCGCATTTCACCACATTGACAGCATTTCTTTATCTCATATCATAACATATAAATGTATATAAATAAATATGTGAACTTTCATAAATAAATTATTATCACAATTTTTGCAGCGTTATTTTAAACTCGTTAACCTTGTCTAAGATAAGAATTGATTTTATTAAAATTAAAATTCCGCATTTTATACATTTACGATGTTTTACTATCTTATATTTTATATACAAATGTATAACTATCAAAATTATTTTTAATTTATTTTTAATTATTTTTAAATTATTTTTATTTGTAATATTTCACCTCAGTAAGATTTGCCAACACCCATACAGCACAAAATATCCTACATATCCTTAGGAGATCTTGGGGAGATCTCGATGTCCTCAGAACATCCTTGGGACACCGAAATATCCTTGATGTCCTGAGGATATCCTGAGGATGTTTTGTGCTGTATGGGCATTAAGGTAAAAAACAAAAATTTTGTTATTGAACAGGTTATTATAATTTATTCATAAACAATTAATCTCAAATAAACTTTTAATGATTTAAATCCCAATAATGCTCGCCGTATTCTCCTTTTTTGTTGCCCCATTTTATCTGAAATGCAATAAATCAATTTCAAAGTATAAATAAGTTTCATTTAAAGAAACCAATCTAACAAATAACGAAGTTAAATATTCCAGTAGTCAAACATGTTTCAATCTTGGACAATATTTTGTTTGGAAAAAATATTACTGTAATAATGGTTTAAATGTACACTAGTGCATAAAAGACAAACATTTAAAAAATGACTATTTATTACCTTGCCACTGTAGCGATTATTATCAAAGTCCTTCCGCTCGAATCTCTGTTCCCATTCGTTGGGATTCTCGCAAACATGACCAAATTCAATTTCGAAAGGTGCTGGATGTTCGGAAAATATGTCTCTATATTTTATATACATTCAACGTTATCAAAATATATTTATAATTATCATCTTGCATAAATATTATTATTATTATTATTATTATTATTATTATTATTATTATTATTATTATTGTTACTCACTGAAAGTACTGTCCTACTGATAAAACGTCTGCCATTTTCTGTTTTAAAGTTTCTTCTTTATTCACAGCTTGGAAATCTGATTGTAATTAAAATAAGTTTAGTAATATACTTATGTAAAATGCAATGCGCAATTTTGAAGCACGATTTATACATTATTAATACTTGCCAGCTGACGTAGTTTTTATAAGTTTGTCCAACAAATTAGCTGTGACAACATTTACAATAAGCACTATTATTACTACTTGTAATAAACGTGAATTTATAAACATAAAGATTTTATATTTCTCGTGCATTTTGTTATTGAATAGATTTAGTTTACAATTTGCAGTGCAAGATGAGCAAACAGTTCGTGTCTGCTGAATAAATACTGCATGCGTACTGAATTGTAAGTGAAATTGTGACTTCTGTATTTCACGATCTTTTCTTTGGACGATACGCTCTATTTAATCAAACAGTGAAAGTGCATTAGCACAATGTATAGTTGTAGAAATTGTTACAATATCCGGCTTTCGTAAACAATATTTTAAACATTATTAGATTCTGCAATTTAATTTACAATCATTGACGACATCAAAATTATGATTAAAACATGATGTGGAATAAAAAAGGAAAATGATTAAACAGATGTGAACAAATTGTTGGTTTTGAAATTCGAAATTTATTTGGAAAAAATCTATCGTAAGTACAATTGTAAGAAAATCATGGTAAATAAGGGAAATATTGGAATTTGTGTGAGTTTAGTCGAAACTCGAATATAGGTTACGATAAATATATTATAACAATCCCACTTTAAATGTTGTAATTCTATTTTAAATGGCACTTGATTTTTCTACATTAATTACAGTTTTAACGAAGCATAGTATTTGAATATTATGCCAATAATTAATAACTATTAATAAATTATTTATCGAACGATAAAAGATCACTATTCTTTGCACACTTTATCAAAGATTGTATTAATTTGACAAATCCAGTATCCTTTGGTTTTTCCAAACCGCGAAGGACACGATTTTTCATCACTGCGACAAACTCCCGATTGCTAAGCTGTCCATCCACTATAAACACAAGAACTGGGATAAGTAATTTTATAATTTTAAATATATTTGCATATTAACACAATCTGACTGATTATAGAAATTGATAACAATTTTCTTTTTAGTTATCGATTTTTATTAATAAAAAAATAATTTTTTAACTTCTTAATCAAAATTATTGCATCATTGTTGTATATTTTCTTTTTTAGAAAATTATATATACATACATATATGATTTAATAAATATTTACAATTTCATAATTATCCATATGCTAATAAAATAATGAAATGATACATTATTCTTTTTTATTTTTTAATAACTATATCACAATTTATACACTTTGAAATATAGTTGTTTTTTTATTGTTAGCCATTTACTAAACCATCTATAATTTATAAAAAAGTAAGATATGGTTTTCTTAGCAATCTCTTAATTGTAAATGGCATGCTATTAATAAAAATAAAAAACTCACTGTTTTCATCAAAGATTGTATATACCACTTGGATGATGTGATCACTCAGATCGACGTGAGCGACAGTTTTCGCTACATGCTTCAAAGTTGCTGCAATAAATCATGAGATATGTATAAATAAACACATTGACAAAAATACAAAGTACAAGCGTACTTGCTTGATATTTTAATGTACTGTCGATCATTTTTTTATAGCCAGAATTTCAATAATTTCATAATTATCTATATGTTAATAAAATGAGAAATTATTCGAAATGTGTCGAAATTACGTTCAATTATCCTATTATGCGAGATAAAATTTAGTTGGAATAAATTATAATTAGAATGTAATTAGTTGGAGCGCTATTCTATATACCTTGATCAATAGAGGCGCCGGCTATATGATAGAACGTTAAGGCCGTATCCACATCATTAATATTGTTCAGAAAGTGGAAAAATTTGAGATACTCCTCTTTGCTGATCCCTTGTGGATTTTCCCTAAAACTAAACAATCAATATTGAATTATATAGATAAATTAAATTAGAATGGACAATATTTATTGTGCATCTCCTAAGGGTTACAATTTCGATACACTTATCTCATACGTCAAAATGAAGACTAGCGTAATCTTTATAACATTCTAACTTTCATTCCAAATTGCTTTGTTTATTACTATATTCTGGCTAGGATCCATTTGTTCCACGTTCTTTTCGATAATCTCCACCCTCTTTTTCTCTTCTCGCTCCTTCCTTAATATTATATCACGGCACGCCTTTTTTCAAGCGTATTTTACTTTTGAAATTACCCTCATAAAGTATATAAAATTAGATGTATCCATACTCACGTCTTTTTCACTCTTTTCAGCATTTTTGCTTTCTTCTTCGCTGGATATCCGGCATAAGCCAACAATAGTTCTGTAAAGTCTACCTCGGTAATGTTGCCGTGCTCATCCGGATTTCGTCGTTCAAACTAAGCAAAAAATATATAAACGTTCAATGAATAAACAAATGCAAATAAGAACTGAATGCAATAATTGAATTAAATTATACATTATGTTGAGTTCCATACCTCGAGACTCATAATTTCCCGCTGTAATTGTTGCTGGAAATCTAAAAACTTCTCAATCGTTAGTTTCTGATTCATTTCTGGTCCAAAGAAGTAGGTTGTTAACGCGGAATTCACTCCCTAAAATCCATTGAATACAAAATAATTATGAGAGATTTCAATTGTTCAATAAAATATAATTCTTCAAGTCACTTCACATAGATACAGTGAGTAATTTAACATTTTAAAAAGTAAATTCTATAAAAGAATAGTTAAATTGACGAAATAATAGTATATACATTCAGAATTTTTTATTATATGCTGAGAGAGATATTAAACCTACGCAGCTAAATCTAAACAAGCAGTAGGTCTCTAACTTTTTAACGACGATGTCGTTATATACGTCGTAGCGCAAGTAACATATCACAATCGTATATACCATTTAATGTAGCAATTAGAAAATTGGACAATAAATTTTATAGACAAAATTCTTTCAGGACGTTTAGTGTGCGCTAGAGCTTCGCGACAGAGTTAGTGTTGATGAAAAGGCAACAAATTTACAGATATTAGGAATTTGATGCATATTTATTACTTAAGAACTTGAGAAATGTTATTATATAATAATTACCTTGAATGTGTTTCCAGTAGTCGCGTGATCGCGGTGCCGCGTGCCTATACTGGTTTGTTGCCGTATCAATGTAGCTACTTTCCCAAATTCCTCAGAATCAACGTCACCATCTCCATTAAAGTCGAACATTCTGAAGGCGATTTCAAAGTGACGCCTAGAAGCTGCAAAGGAGATATAGGACACTCGTTTGTACTATGTTGAAATTTTATGGACTTTAAATGTATATTTGAATATAAATTTGCTGTAAACAGTTTTCTATACATAGCTACAGTTTAACAAAATTGTATAAGCAACTTACTTGACAATACAGTCAGCAAAAAGATATAATCGGAGAAAGTGATGAGACCTGCGCTACCCAGCTTGTAGAAAATGCTGTCTTCGTCCAATTCCAATTCTAATTTTGTATGAATATTCTAAACAGAATAGACAATGTTCTTATAGAAATATTTTATTCATTGTTTCTTTGTTGAATTTCATTAATGTACCTTTGGATCGTAACGTTTATATTTGTCCAGACCAAGGCCTAAAAATCAATACAATGACATCATTGTTATGTATCCTTTTATCGATATAATGTTCCATGCAATTAAACATAACCCGATTTGTGCAAAATTGCAACTTGAAAAATGTTAGTTGATTCGCACGATGCAAGAAAATTGTCGCAACGCATTACGAAGCAATGTGATTATGTTTTGCTACAGTTGTAATTAAATCATTTTCAAACTGGTCGACGAATGCAGATAATATTTTCCACAAATATTAGTCTTGTTAGTGCATATGAGAAATTTGACCTGACTGGCAATATTTCTTCTCTGTCAAATTTGTTAGGAAGTGCTGTAGCGGTAAACAATTTTCCAGAAAAATCAAAGTAAACATAAAAGTTAAATAACTGTCAAACTAGTCAGAGAATTATACCTAGGTTTTACGTTAATATTCAGAATAAATACAAACTGTTTGAATGTTTTGAGCTCTTATTTCAACATGTAATCCATACATCTTTAATTTGAAAAGGAACGGAGAAATGCTATAGGATTACCATCTGGCTGTTTTACGCCGGGCGTCATCGATCTTAAAAAATCGTCCGGTGTCATGAATACCTCGTGCACATCGTTGTTTGTGACCTGGAGGGTTGCGAAGTAACGGAACACTTTGTCCGGTGTCGAGTAATGCCTCATACGATTTTCATATTCTATTATCTACGCACACACATGGTTAGTTGACAGTTGCAGAATTTTGTTTAAAAAATGTGCAGATGATGATCATAAGCAACTGCCCAAGACTCATATGATGCTCATATGATATGCTCTACTAATGTTATCGAAAATGTTATACATGGAAAATACTCTTTTTGAAATGACGCGTATATACATCATTAATATTTAGGAGTTAATAACTCGCATTTTATACTTGGTATTGCACCAAATCTTTGTGTGAATCATGCAAGATTGCAAAGCTTTCAATCAGCAGAGCGAGGCAGGTGAATAGTTGTTAGTAACGCTCAATAAACCATACGATTGTCGAGAAAAAGACAAGACAAAACTCTTAGATTACAGATTCCGTGTCGGCGCCAATCCAATGAGAATTATGAAAGCCCTACCATCTGGCTGTTGCATGCCTGGTGTGATAGCTCGAAGAAAATCATCCGGTGTCATATAGACCTCGGTATCTTCTAAACTAGTTACTTTCACTGTCGCGAAGTAACGAAAGATTTTGTCTGGCGTCGAGTACGCTCTTATCCTGTTCTCATATTCTATTATCTGCAAAAACACTTCAGTCTGCATCGTCCTGCTGCATAAACATATGGATGGCAAGTAAAGCGTTAACTTGTCGAATCTACTCGATACTACTGCTTGTGCCAAACAATGCAAAAATGTGATTGCTACATAAATATTTAACGTTCTTCTCATTTCATTGTGAACTTTTACTTTACTCCATTTCCGTACACTTTATCGTAAAAAAAGTCTTATACAAGTCTAAAGAAAGTTTATATTTTTCAATATTTTTAAAATAATTTAAAAACATGCATATATGATATTACTATCAATAGGGTGAATCTTTAATAAACCTTTCTGTCACGAAACCCAATCTTCTGTTTTTTCTTCTTTTTTTTTTCCAACTCATTTTCTATATTTTCTATATTTCCACTATCTTGATTCTCTTCCATTAGTATGCTAGCAGCATCCACTTTAGGTGTTATCAAACCAAATATGCTGTAACATACATCAGTATATTAAATAAAATTTATCAATCACATTAAGATTCTAATTTTTAAAAGAATAAAAGGAAAACAAGATCACTAACTGTATACGCCTACCATATGTAAAACTTGATTTGATTTATCATCGAAGCTTACACTTGTGGGTCTTAAATAAAATTTTGTCATCTGTATGTAATTCCAATTACTCATGTTTAATATTTATCCATGTTAATAATAATTAATATTATTTACTTACCGTTGCCAATCAAAAATAAAGGACAGAGTTCCAATGCCAGGAAGTATAATTGGCAAAGCAAAGAGCAAGCGAGATTTTTTCCTAGTATGACCAAAATTTCGAAAATTACGAGATTGCTTGTACTCATATTTGTACCTATTCTCTTTATAACCGTTACATTCCGAAACATAAACTGCATTAACTGCCAAAAGCTTGCACTTTGGATATTGCCGGAATATACATGTGCTTCTACTCAGCAGCATAGTCACAGCGCCAAACTCTGGAGAAAATTAAAAATATTATTTATTAAAAAACTTATGCTGTCTTGTAACAATACCACTAAAAAATTAAATTATTCAATACGAGAAAAAGTTGCAGTAATTTGACTAAAATGTGCAACACACTGATAAAATATGCAACACCAAGTTTAAAACATACTATTGCTCAAATGTTAGTTAATAAAGTGCTGTCCAATGCTGTCCAATGTCGTCCGAGATGTACAAACTTCCTTTTACAAAAAGTAGGAATCAATTTCAATAACACGTGATTTTGACACTCTGATTCCTCTGACTCTATAGGAATTAAAACGCATCAAAATGGGTATAAAATAAAAGAAGAGTGAGGAAACAAGAGCACAGTAAAGGCTGGCGTTATTGGGCAACTTATTTATTTTGCGCATGTCCATTTTAGTTGAGGGTCGACAGGCAGCTCTATATTAGCGTTTTCGATTATACAGGATTTGAACGACCCAAGATTGGTTAATGACGTCATTGCAACCTCTCCACCAATGAAAGACTTGCATTTATAGTAAAATAGTGATTGATCAACCTAGATCGTTCAAACCCCGTTTATTCGAAAACGCTATATGAAATGGAAGCTTAAGCCCGTATCAGACTACGCATTAAAAATTAAATAGCGTTTTCGATTATACAGAATTTGAACGACCCAGGGTTGGTTGATGACGTCATTGCAA